TTGCTCTCTATTGTATCTTGATTTTTTTCAAGAGAATGAGACATAGCTTCTGCTTTAAGTGTATGAATAAAAAAAGGAAAAAGAAACTCCTCTTTTTCCTTCCTCCCTTTCTACTTTGAGAATTTTCAAGTTCAATCATTTATATTCTGAGCTTTAAACAGGCAGAAACTACAGAATCAACTTTTGGGTCTCCAGGGCTTCTGGAGCACAACTCTTCTTGTTACTTCATATTATACCCCTGCCAAGCACAGAAGCAACGTCATTTGCCCTTCCCAGTTTTGACAAATGCCATACTACAACCACTCTGGAGAGAAAGCAGAAAACTCACACAAACTTCAGGAGGTGAACAGAGGTAATAGAATTTGTGTCTCTTCTCTGTGCATGCCAATTTGCTTGGGAATGTTGCAGAAGAAATATTTAGGTAAAAAGAAAATACTGATGTTTTGGTTTCTTTATTTGGAAATCTTCAAAGATTATTTATTTAATTTATTGGAAAGGCAGAGAAAGGGGGGTAGGGGGGGTGGGGAGAGAACAAACCTACTATTGGTTCACTCCCCAAATGCTTGCAACAGCCAGGGCTGGGTCAAAGCCAAGGACACTGAAATGCTACTCAGGTCTCCCCTGTGGATGGCAGGGACCCAAGTTCTTGAGCCATCAACTGCTGCCTTCCCGGGGGCACATTAGCAGAAACTAGAGTGGAAGTTGAACCATGACTTGAAACCAGGAACTCTGATAATTAACCACTGTGCCAAATGCGCACCCCCCTCCAAAGATATTTTTAAAAGGCTAAATTAGTCACGAGTTTAATACTTGGGCATTTGGGGCCAGTGTTGTGATGCAGTAGATTGGGCCTCTGCCTGCAGCACCAGCATCCCATATGGGTGTCAATTCCTTTCCCAGCTACTCCTCTTCTAATCCAGCTCTCTGCTGATAGCCTGGAAAAGCACTGGAGAATGGCCCAAGCTGCTTGGGCCCCTGCACCCATGCGGGAGGAATGGAGGAAGCTCTTGGCTTCAGATGAGTCCAGATCCAGCCATTGGGGAGTGAACCAGCAGATGGAAGACCTTGCTCTGTGACTCTGCCTCTCAAATAAATGAATAAATCTTTAAAAAAAAATTAGGCATTTATATGTTTTGCATGTTCATTCTAATTAATATATTTGACTTCAATAAATTATTTCACATATAAAAGGGGAAATGAGTTTTTTTTATAAATGTCTTATCTGTAACCATTTTGCTACTTCACTCTAATAATATGTGTATGAACACACACACACATACACACACACATATATGTCTCCTACTAGACATCTCCACTTGGTTGTTCTTCTAAATCTGTTCCTTTCTTTAGTGTCCCATTCCAGGCAAAACGGCAACACCATTCACTCAGATGCTTAGGCCAAAAACTGTTTTTCTCTCATGCCCTGTCATTTCCACCCAAATCGAATTCCCTGGTTCTACCATCTTAATCAAAGTCATTACCAGCTGTCATCAGGATTACTGCAAGGGGCCAGCGCCGTGGCTTACTAGGTTAATCCTCTGCCTGCAGCGCCGGCATCCCATATGGGCACTGGGTTCTAGTCCTGGCTACTCCTCTTCCAGTGACAGCTCTCTGCTGTGGCCCGGGAGGGCAGTGGAGGATGGCCCAAGTGCTTGGACCCCTGCACCCGCATGGGAGACCAGGAAGAAGCACCTGGCTCCTGGCTTTGGATTGGCGCAGCGTGGGCTGTGGCAGCCATTTGGGGAATGAACCAACGGAAGGAAGACCTTTCTCTCTGTCTCTCACTCGCTCGCTGTCTGTAACTCTACCTGTCAAATAAATAAAAAAAGTTAAGAAAAAACTACTGCAAAACCCTGTAAAATATTTTCTATTACTCCAGACACAATTTTAGCCTTGCTTTAATAGGGGGCTAATTGTTCACACCATTTTTTTTTTCAAATTAATAAATCTACTTTAAGGGTCAAATAAATGTAAATTAAGACACAAGATTATCTTTGTAAGCTGAATTGGAAAAAGTGTAACTGGAACCTGTCCAAACTTGTAAAGCAGCATAGAAATTTCTGTGGATACTGATATTCAGCCAAAGAACTAAGAATCTTGGATTTTGTATACTTTCCTTGCAAGTAGAGTATTTATATAAGAATTATAAAGTAATGGATGAAAGTCCAGACCCTTGAGGCAGAATAAGTTAATTCAAACCCTAGTTCTGGGGGCAGTGCTGTGGCATAACAGGTAAAGCTATGCCATATCTTGTGGCTTGTGGCACCGACATCCCATACAGCCACTGGTTTGAGTCCCAGCCGCTCCACTGCCAATCCAGCTTCCTGCTAATGTGCCTGGCAAAGCAGCGGGAGACTGGGCCCCTGCACCCAGGTGGGAGACCCAGAAAAAGCTCCTGGCTCCTGGCTTTGGATCGGCTCAGCTCCAGCCATTGTGGCCATTTGGGGAGTGAATCAGTGGATGGAAGATTCTCTCTCTAAAACTCTGCCTTTCAAATAAATAAAAAGGTCTTAAAACAAAAGCAAAACCCTGGTTCTGATTCTTAGTAGACATAGAAAAATTTTCCATACCTTAATTTCCTCATTTATAAAATGGGTACAATAATAGCAGTACTTACCATGTGGAATGCTGTGAGAACCAAAGCATGCCTGTCTTACAGTAAGCCTCTACCTAAATGCTAGCTACTACTATTTACTTATAATTTAACCCCAAATTACTTATCCATTGACACCATTAAAATACACAGACGTTTATGAGCAAAACCCAATGGTGCTTTCCATTTCCAAAGTTCTTCCCAAGAAAAATAAGGGATTCACGTTGAATTGAGCCCCTCCTTCCCATCTCCAAATTTAAAAAAGCCAGGGAGTACTGAAATATACAAAACAATACTGAACCCTTTAGTCCACATGCATACCAATTACATAAAATAAGCAGTTCAACAATTATGAGAGAAATACAAACTTAGTTTTTAAGAAATTAAAACTGAAGTGGTAGGTGTGGTGCAGCAGGTTAAGCTGTCACTCGTGATGCCAGCATTCCACATCAGAGTGGGATGAACAGCATCTAACTGCCTTGAATATTAAAGGTCAAAAAAGAAAACAAGAAAACTGAGTTTTTTCAAAGTTCATAACTATAACATCAAGCACTACAGGACAAAAGCTTATTGTTAAAATTAGCTATTATCTGGGCAAGAAATAAAAAAAAGTTTTAAAGTAAAAATGTTTGCTGTAACCTTAGCCATAATGGACGTGTACAATCTTCTCTGGCGAATCAGGGAACCATCTGTTGCCATGGAATCATAACGCCTGCAGGTAAGACTGACCTCACAATTAACAGGGCACTCAGAATGGAAAGCTACCAGGTTAGAAGTAGCAGCAAGCCTGAAACAAAATTTGATTCCCAAGGCAAACAACACCTGAGCTTGTTATGATCTAAATGGCTGAAATCTCCACATTCCCAGTACCACTCACAGAATTCAGGAGGCTACTTTGAGTACCTGAAGATAAAAACAACATACATCAGGGTATTGTGTATACTACAGGTATGTCAGGTGGCTGGCCCCAGAATTTTTTACTTTCAAGGCTTGCTACGTTGCTATTATGAAAGCCAACTGGATATTCTGTATTTCTTATTTCAAACCACCAGTGAGGATACAAAAGCTACAAAGTCAGATTTACCAAAAAAAAAAAAAAAAAAAACTTGAAAATCATTATAGAAGTTCAAGTGTAAGCCTTGTTTAAAGTATAAGAAAACAAAAACCAAACGAACTGATAAAACAGTTCTCAATCTCATTGACCTTCTCAATCTTATTTTTGAAGTTAGATCTCTTAAGATGATGTCTTCAGGTGTAACTCAAACATTTTCAAGTAATGAGAATACTTAAGAGGATCCTCTCAGCGGCGTATGCTCGCCCCCAGGCATGTATAAAAAATCAAAACAAAACCCGCATAGCTTGATGTTTGATTTATTAAATATGACAGCAAATCCCTCAGTTGGGTTACAACAGAGTTTATTTTCACAATATTTAAATGGCTATTTTACATTTCTAAAACTGTCATATCACTAGTTTCGAGCGTTTGCAGTTTCTCCTGCCAACACTGTCTACTTTTTCAATAATTTAGCACAAGATATATTATTAAATGGCATTTTCTTGACATTCAAGAACTTATTCCCAGGAATGGTATTAAGAGTAGAGAGAGAAAAAAATCAGCTAATAGAGTTGGGATGGGAAATAACTATATTAGTAAAATTAGTTTTTGATGCCAAAGAAACTTGCTTGCAAGTTGTTAAACTCAAAACGGACTTCATATAGGAGCTAAAAACTGAAGAGAAACATTTTAGACAAATGGCTCCAAAGGAAGCAACTCCTCTGAAATGAACTATTAGGTGGTTTTCACCTAGAACTGCTTCCTCCAATCAGGAGGGACTGGGATAGAAAACTGTCACAAAGGGGGGGAAAAAAAAGTTAAAAGTGCGATCCGAGAAGTCTTGATACCAAAACGGCTGACGACCGCACAAGCACCTCCAACTGGAAGCTGCCGGGAAGGACCGGCTGGGGGAACCGGGAAACACCTAGACCTGGGGACGGGCGCGAGCCCTCCAGCCGCGCACACTCAGGAGCTGGAGCCCCAGTCTGAGGCAGCCCAGAGCGGAACAACGATTCCTCGCCCTCGCCCTTTCCACCCTTCTCCTGCATCTTCAACCCCGTCGACCCCCAACGCAAAAGGCAGTCACCAGGGGGGACACCGGGGCTGAGGAGCCGCCGGCCCGAGCGCCCTCTTTACCTGGTCGCAGAGGCGCGGCCAGGCAGGGAGGGTGCGTGAGCGTGTCGGCGACACCAGCCACCTACGCCTTCCCGCCCAGCCCGAGCCGGGATCCCGAGGCTGCTTCTGGGAGCTGCGAGGCCCCTTGCTGCCAGAGATTAAAAACAACAAATAGGTTTAGAAATTACTCGCGCCGGCTGTCATTCATAATCCGGCGGACCGGAAGGAGGGAGGTTACGTCACTTCCTGCAGTCGCACTGCCAAACGTTTCCCCAGGGCCCCGCTGCGGGAACCTTTGTTTCCGCTCTTTCTGTGCTGGGTAGTGCGGGGACCGGTTCGGAAGGGACCACTGGGAACGGACGGAGCGGCGGGGCGGAGCGGTGAGTTGTGACGAGCCAGCCGGCTCCCCGCCACCTCTGGGGGGCTCGAGACCCCCGCGAGGGTCCGGGTTGGGAGAGTGGCGTAGTGGAGTCTTGATTTCCTCGCTCCTTTAGGAGAAACCCGGTAGCTGACGGCTGTTGCGTGCCACAGCCTGACCGTTCTCTCCCTTTAGGGAGGACTGCTTTCCAGAGTGTTGTGGAGTGGGGCGTGGGGACTGGGATTAGGCTTTGGAAGCTTGTCAAGGATCTCTGGCGAGTTCTCTATGTATGCACCTCATCCCGTCTCTCCTTTTCTGTCTCTCTTTTCAAGGAGCTTTCCTCGTGCTAAGGCTTCGATGCGACGTGCTTTAATCTAAGAATTGACGTTTCTTTTCCGAGTGTCTGTTGTCACTCTTCAGCTTCTCCAAACCACTGGATTCCTTTGAAGTCGGGCCTTTTCGTCTGCCCGGCGTTCCCACACGTTCCTAAGGTATCCGTGTGACCCAGGGCCAAGAACTCATTGGAGGAATGGAACGGGGGAGCATCTTTAAAAGAATGTTTATTGGAAAAGGTTGCAAGAGGTTGCAGAGACATGAGCTGCAAAGTTTCCTAGAGCCACTGTGAGGGGGCAGCCCTAATACTGAACTCTGCAGGAATAGGTTCGGTTTCCTTCATCCTGGGCACACGCAGATCATTGACCTTGGACTTCAGATGAAGATTGACAAATAGGATGGAAAACAGAATGCAGGGGAAAGCATAAGCTCATTTATATTTACATATGAACATCAGTTTAGATTGTAGAGATGGCGGAAGTACTAGAAAGTGACATTTAAGCCAAAACCTCGCTCATGCAATGACTGTTTTTGAGCACCTGCTAAGTTTTAAGCACTAGGGAACTAAAAGTGAACAAAAATGGCTGTACTTTGATGGAGTTAATATCCTGTGATTAATGAATTTAAGCCAAGTGAAAGATTAGGGACAGAGTATTGCAGAGAAACATGGTGCAAATTCCCAATCACAGAGAGGTGATTTTTGTTTTGCCTTGATTTTGCTTTTTGATGTTTGAGAGTTTTGGGGGATGAAGGGGTAGTTTTCTTTTTGCTTTCTTGCTGAAGTGACCTTGGAAATGGTTAGAATTATGTAGAAGTAGAGAAAGACCACTAGACTTTGATCTGTAATTCTATAAGCAATTATTTTGTAGTACTTTGCAAAGTAGGATAGGATAAAACTCTAGAATCTAATTAAGGTAGTTAGTTTTATGGGGAAATAATACGTGTGAAAAAAGGGTATGCTTCAATGTAGAAAGTTCCAGTGCTGTGAGGAAGTACTATGATATATCCTAAGGAGGAAGAGATACCAATTACCTCTCATCAATCTCATCAGTTGAGATTTAGGATGGAGAGAACAGAGGCATAGCAGCTGTAATAGCACTTGCCAGAGTAGTATTTTAATTGTGTCTTGATAAGATTAGAAATAGCAAAATGGATAAAAAGCTTCCAGGATAGAGAAAAGAATAAGAGTAGCAAGGTCAGCTAATACCTGTAAAGAATATCTGGAGGTGAAGAATGATAGTTTTTGTGCCAATTAATGAATCTTAAGTGCTAGGCCAGGAAATTTGTGTGTGTGTGTGTGTTTTAAGATTTATTTATTTGTTTTGAAAAGCAGAGTTACAGGGATGGGGGTGGGGGTGGGGGAGATAGATAGAGAAAGATCTTCAATAGGCTGGGTCATTCCCCATATGGCCTCAAGGGCTCAAGCTAGGCCTGGCTGAAGCCAGGAGCCTGGTACTCCATCAGGGTATCCCATATGGGTGTAGGGGCCCAAGGGCCGTCATCTGCTGCTTTCCCAGGTGCATTATCAAGGAACTGGATCAGAAGTGGAGCGGCTGGGATTACAACTGGCACCTGTGTGGGATGTTGGCATTGCAGGCAGCAGCTTAACCTTTTGTGTCAATGCCAGTCCCTGGGCTTTATTTTTAAGGCAGTAGGAAGCCTTAATTTTTTTCAGTAAGAAAATGTTGAAATTGAGTGTCTGGCATTGTGGCATAGCTGGTAAAACCATCACCTATGACATCAGCATCCCTTATGGGTGCTGGTTCATATTCTGGGTACTCTATTTACAATCCAGCTCCTTGCTAATGACCTGGGGAAAGCAGCCGAAGATGGCCCATGCCACCCATGTGGGTGATCCAAATGAAGCTCTTGGTTCCTGGCTTCAGCCTGGCTCAGCCCTGGCCATTGTGGCCATATGGGGAGTGAACCAGCAGATGGAAGATCTCTCTGTCTCTCTATCTCTGTGTAACTCTTTCAAATATTTTTTAAAAAAAGATTTAAAAAATGAAAAAAAAATTTTTCAGGGAAATTAATATGGCAACAGTGTTGAAGCTGATAATGATTAGATTAGTGTTGCTGTTCAGGTAAGCTAATAAAGGCCTGCTTTTGAGTAGCAGTGGTAGAAATGAAAAGTGGGCCAAATGTGAAAGTTATTGCAGAATCAGAATCCATAAGAAAAGCCTGCCAATTGTTTGGATGTAAAGAGTAGGGAAGAAATCAGTGAGGGAAAGTTTTAGGGCTCAGACCTAATTAACAGAGTTTTGTTATTTATTGAAGGAAAATGCAGACAATGAACGTTTGTAGAGATATTCACAAAGTCAGTTTTAGTTATAGCTAAATCTGAGATACCCTTAGGACAACCAGGGAGTCATGTCTATTAAGCAATTGGAAATATGGGCTTTGAGCTTACAGGAGATTGGAGTAGGGATAAAACATGAAATCATCTGCCTAGTGGTGACATTTCAAAACATGCTGTATCTTAAGTTTACCAGGGAAGCAATTGGTAGCAGAACTAAAGAAAATAGCCAAGGATAAATAAATGGGAAACACTACAAGCAGCAGAGGTAAGAAGATGAGCCAGAGAAAGAAGAGTCAGAGATAGAAGAGGAAAACTAGAAACACTGAGTATAATAAACTAAAGAGAGGAGAATTTTATGAAAGGAAGTGGATAACATGTATTTGCTTAGCCAGAATTACTGAAGATCTGCTATTTGCCAAGCACTCTACTAAACATAGGGGTTATGGTAGTAAGTAAAAGCCATCCAGTGCCTGCCCTCTTGTAGGCGATAGATAGTGCTTACATAATTAACAGATGATGGATATTACTAATCAGTACAAAATGCTTCCCTCCTGTAACAGGAAGAATTTGATTTTGTTGAAAAATGTATGGAAAAATATTGAGATTTGAAAGATGACTTAGGCTGGGGAGGTGGTACACCTTCCACTAAAGCACTCAGTAAGAAAGAATGTGATATAGTAGAGGACTTAGAAGTTGTGTGACTATAATGAAGTAAGAGCAGTGTGAGTAACATTTAATGAGCATGTACCATGTGCCAGGTACTGTTACAACTGCCTTACATGCATTACCAGATCATGTTAGGGCATTAGAGACTTCGCTGAGAATCTTGTTGTTTAACCGTTGTACTGTGAGGAGTCATAAAACTATTTTAAGTGTGTGATACAAAAATATTAAGAGGGGATAAGAATGGTTGTAGGGAGACTGATGGGCTTTTGCTATGGGCTACATAATAGTAGGTTGGTCTTGGATGGTGGTAGTAAGGATAGAAAAAGGTAGATGGATTTTAGATATATTTTAGGGTTTGGTGATTGAGGTGGGGGGTGGGAGGTGGGGAAGTAGCAGGAGTTAAAACTGATTCCCAAGTTTCTAACTGGAACGATGGAATAAATATTTGAAAAAGGGAATCCTAGAGGAAGTACTGGTTGGGAGAAAAGAGAAGAGCATATGAATGGCTCTGTTAGCAGCACGTTCAACAGGAGGCCCCAGTGAGGCAGCCAAGTCAAGCTGACAGTTGTCTTGGAAGAGAGACATAGGCTTTAGAGATAAATTTATAATTATGCCCCCCCCAAATAGACAAAAACCTACATATAAAATTGTCTAGGGAAATAATTCTAAAATTTTAGAGTGGATCAGAATTGTCTGGGACCAGCTCCTAGAGCTTTTTCTTCATTATGTCTGGGAGCACAGACCAAGAGTTTGCAGTTCTAACATGTTTCCAGGAAATGCCTATGCTACTAATCCAGAAAAAACATTTTTGGAAGTTGTAGAATAAGATCAGAAGAGACCCAGAACTTTCGCTTTTTAACTGTAATAAGAGGAACCTGCAAGGAAGATGGAGAAAGAAGTAGGAGGAAAAATAGTATTTATTACATTTACCTAAGGTTGTGAATGATTTTGATGAGAGTGTTTTCATGGTGGGACAATGGTCAAATTGCAGGAATCGCAGCATAAGCATAAGGAAGGAAGGAAACAAATACAAAAAATTGATGATAATCTGAGAAAGTTTTGCCATAAAAGGGAGAAGACAGGATAGAAGAGGCTTGAATCTACTTAAATGTTAATGAAAAGATGCCATTAGAAATACAAACTCCCCACACATCAGAGAGAAGAAAAAGAAGAAATTATGAACTTCTAGAGAGTTCAGGAAGTGACAGAAAGCAGATACCGGCATCATTGCGTGGAGAGCTACTTCATGCTTTTTTATCAGGTTGGAAAGAGGAAAGAATGAGTACAAGTAAGTTTGTAGATATGTTGGCAAGAAGTTGAGTGCCTTTCCCTCTTACAGCCTTTTTTTTTTTTTTTCTGTGAAGTAGGTGAGGTCATCTTCTGAAATAGATAAGCAGTTTTAAAGAAAATGGAGAAAATATAACTGGTTTCTGCAGCAAGTAGGGAAGAGAGTTGAACAGAGGAGCATAACAGGATTGCCATATTGTGTTGAGTATTCAGATGAGATTGGTGACTTTGAAGAGACAGAGTGTATTTGTATTCCTGTCATCTGTACTTAGAGTTTAGGTGTAGGCAGATAGCTAGCAGAGTGGATGTCTTCAAAGTAAGTGAAACTCTGTGGCAGAAAGTGTCCTACATGAAGGACCTTTGTGGCTGAGACGCCTGTGGAAAGAACTGGTCATCAAACAAGATGCACTTTCTCTGAAGGGAGGAGAGAGCTTCCACTTTGCTTATGGCCCTGTCTAAATACTGAAGGAGTTTGTGTATTCAAAAGGCTTTCATAGCCTAGGCAGCTCCTGTCAAGAGCCTCGGGTGATCACTGATGACATTCCTAAGAGTGCCAATTGTTAAATTAACAATAGCAGGCACTGTGCACTAACTTCTCATGCAAAACCTCTGTCCTCAAAGAATTGTGTTATGAGAATTAATAGTAAAACTTTTCAAAGATATACTTCGTTTTAGTGTATTAAATGGATAATATTCTTATGTCTCATAAGTTTTAGATAAGCATAAGTGCCCAACCCTATTGTTTGTTTCGTTAGGTGCTTCTTCAGTTAATGATAAATCTTGTTCTCAAAGGAAAAAAAAGTATATTATCGCTAAAGTTAAAAGAAAAATAAGAAAAGAAGTATAATTGTGGATTGTAGTAAAGAAGGAGCACTGGTTTTTGTCAAAGAGGACAATAGTTATGGCAAATATCAGACTTCACTGGCTGAAGATAAGCTCCTTGAAGTTGAAGATATAAATAGTGATTGAGTGTAGAAGTTGGAGAAGATCATTAATGTAGATGCTAAAATTGTTGAAAATGATGATGAGGGAGAGGAAGCAATTTAAATGAGCCTGTGCAGATGATATGCAGATGAGGATTTAAAGGGAAGAAACTGGTAAGTAGTGATCATGGAGCATTTTTCTGAAAGCATTATAGAGTAAGATCTGTGTAGCCTTCTTTCCCCTTTGAGAAGGAACAAGTCAAAGGCATGGTGCTTTGATGAGGTTGTAAGGGAAATGATGTCATTAGGAAGGATAATAAAGATAAAGGGAGGGGGCTGGCATTGTGGCATAGTGGGTAAAGCCATGCATGCAACCCCAGCATCCCATGTGGGTGCTGATACAAGTCCTGGCTGCTGTACTTCTGATTCACCTCCCTGAAGATGGTCCACATCCCTGGGCCCCTGCACCCACATGGGACCCAGAAAAAGCTTCTGGCTCCTAGCTTCAGATTAGCCCAGCTGTGGCTATTGCAGCCATTTTGGGACAGAACCAGCAGATGGAAGATCTCTGTTTCTCCCTCTCTTTGTCTGTAAAAATTATGCCTTTCAAATTACTAAATAAATCTTAAGAAAGAAAAACAAGGAAGGAAGGAAGGAAAGGTAAAGAGAAAAGAAGTGCTATAAGAAAAGTGGAAAATGTAGGAGACTATGCAGGTAATGAGTAGAGGCCCCATACATTTAATGTTGAAATGAAGAAGGGCTGAACTGAATGAGAGCATTGGAAGGATTTGCAAGGGGAAGGTAGTTTTGATCCTAAGGCATCCATTATGTATAATACACAAGAAAAAGGGAAACAGGAAATTGCTAAATAAACTGGATCAGTGAATTCCAAATTTTTCTAACTTAATAAATAGAAACGTTAATGTTTCTCTCTTTATTCTACTTTGCATACTGCTGGGATAGTGGGGCAGGTTAGGAATTTAGGCAAGGATAAAAAGTCTGTTACATTTTTTATTACAGTATTAAATAAAGAAACTCTAAAATTCCAGTTGGAATATTAGTATTGACCACTTATATAGTATGGTAGTCTAAGAGCTGACTCTTGTCACCTAATCAGTAATGTAAACCTTATATCTGTGATTGTAGAAATACCTACTAATACTTTGCTTCCATTTTTCAGCATAGCAATTCATTTTCTTAGAACAAAGATATTTAAAAATGTTTATGGAAAAGCAGAATAAAAAATTTATTTTGGTACAAAAATATTTTGAAAACCATTCATAGTTTTCTAATAATAGGCATTTTGAAAACCATTCCTATGCATGGACTTCAAAAATGTCTGCAGCAAAATAACTTTTGATTCCAAATTCCATGAACCTCTTAAAGTACTCTCAATATGTTACAAGGATTTCTCTAGGTAAGCAGATTGTTCTGGACAAGTAAACAACTACCCATTAGCTGTATAAAATTAGGTTAATAGAAATATTAAATTGTGTTCATCTTGTACACTCTGGAGATGTGTCAGGTTTATCCTTTTTTTGGCCATGGAACTTTTATTGAGAAACTGTTTTTTCCCTCCGTACTGCTATAATTATCAGTCCCATGAATACATTTTAAAATAATCTTTACAACCTGTCATTACAGAGAAATGATAATATGTAGTACAATTTTAAGAAGTGACAAAGGCTGCCTCTCAATGTTTTTTAAAGATTTATTTATTTGAAAGGCAATGTCACAGAGAGACAGCCAGTGAGAGAAACATCTTCCATTCACTAGGTCACTCCGACATTGGCCGCAGTGGTCTGTGCGGATCCAGACTGAAGTGAGGAGCCTGGAACCCATCTGGATCTCCCACATGGGTGGCAGCGGCCCAAGAACGTGGGCCATCCTTTTCTACTTTCCCAGACGCATTAGTAGGGAGCTGAATCAGAAGCAGAGCAGCCAGGATTCCAGTCTGATAATGGGATTCTAGCATCACAGGCTACGCTGTGCCACAATGTCAGCTCCTGTTTTGTTAAATTCTTACTGTTGTGAAATTTGTTTTTCTTTTTTCATTCTAGTATTAGTCTTTGGCCTCCTTGCATGAATGATTCAGGGAATATTTTATTAGAGAACAGAGCTAGACTATTTTTGAGCACTTAAAAGCCTGTGTGTGTATGTGTGTGTGTGTGTGTGTGTGTGTTTCCTGTCAAACTTGCAGAGGAATAAAGAGGGAAGTAGGTGGGGGAGGAATAAACAAAATCTATTTTCAGGCTGTGCTTTTATATGCCAAGATTCAACCTACAGCAAGTTCTAATGGAGTTAAAAAAAAAAAAAACCTGAAAATAGAAGATTACTGTGGAATTGCTGACTGATCCTTAACTGTAGCAGTGCAAACATGCTGCATTATTATAATATTAACCTTCAGGATAGAAGAGGATTTCAAGCCGTAATATATTGATAAAAGGATTGAACACAAAGAATACATTTCTATTTTAATAATTCCTTGCCTGGAGAGGTATTTGGAAAAGTGACAACCAGAAGTAGAACCACCTGATAGCGTTGGTATTAACTAAAAACAAAACTTGTTAATGTTTTAAAATTTCATGAGCCTTTGATGTATGTCTTCATCTGTCTTGACTGTTTTTTAAGCTCCTTAGGACACAGAGCATTACATAGAGCCTATGGCGCGCACACACATGCAAAATTTATGCAGGAAGGTATTTTAAGTGGATATGACACCATCCCTCAAGAGACCTTACTTTCTTAAATAGATTAATATGTGCAATACCACAATCTAAATGTGATTTAATGAGGTTATCATTAATATATTTTTGAGATATTCAAAATTGGAGCAGAAGACTAAAGAAGCAGAAAAAGATAGTGTGAGATAAAAGCTGCGACTATGATCTCTATAACTTATCATCTAATGCATCATTTAACCATTACCTTCCTGTAATCTGCCCCCCTACACTAAATCATTGTTTTTGTTATGGAAATGGGGTTTGAGAGAGGAAATTTTGATATATAGTAAACTCGACCTAAAAATGCCAAGTTCCTACAGATACCACAACTATATGTGTATGTTTTAAAACAAAGCTAGGAATGACAGGGAGGAGCTTATCTGCATTTAAAGCTTTGCCATGGATACAGATACAAAGAAAATTGATGACACTGGTGTTTTTAGGTAGAAAGATCTACATAACTCTAGTCAAGAATAAGGAAGAAATTTACATATATCTGAATAGCCTTTTGGAGAGTTTAAATTTTCTACCATGATCACAGTATTATGTCATTATAAATAAAAGAACATAGTAGATAAAACTGTCATTGTTAATTGCACATTGTCTCTAAATTACTCCTCCCCTCTTTTGTCCATGTAGGTGTTTGCAATGGCTGCTACTGTGAACTTGGAACTTGACCCTATTTTTTTGAAAGCACTGGGTTTCTTACATTCAAAGAGTAAAGATTCTGCTGAGAAACTGAAAGCACTACTTGATGAGTCCTTGGCCCGGGGTGTTGATGCGAGTTACCGTCCATCTCAAAAGGTACCTGTGTCTATAAACAACTTTTGTAATGCTTGTTGTACAATAACATTTAGACCATCTCAACACAGTCTTTGCAAAAATAATCTTTCCTTGTGGCACAAAGAAATTATGTTCTTTAATTTTCTTTTCTTCCCTTGAGCTTTTGGACAGGTAATGCACAACACTAGAGATAAGTTAGCTTGATGTGGGTAGTGTTCTATTCTACTAGTTTATGTTTATAGATACCCACTTGTTTACCACATAATTTCCAATTCTTTATGGTCACAAAGACTTTTTTAAGCTGCTGAATGTAACCACAATTTCTGATTATTCTCTATAATGTTTTAAAGCCAAATATTAACAAATTAAAGGAAAGGGATTATTCAAAAAACTAAATTAAATATAAGTAGATAATTTAAGAGGAAAGGAGGTGTAAATAAACTCTGAGAACTATGTAACTCCAATCTTGATAATAACAAAGCAGCCATTGGTAGCTTTATATGAAAAGAATGCACAGTTGGAGCCAGACAAACCTATTTGAAATCCCATTTTACACAAAATTAAGAGAAATACTGTAAGTCACCTAGACTAGTATCTACCTGGTATATAATATGCTGCTATAAATGACAATACTTATTCTCTAATACTTACTAAGTATTCTTTCAAATCTCTACACCCTAGCCCTGTAACTCCAAGTGACCTAGGTCTGTGGGCCTAGAAACCAAGCTGAGAAGAGGAAGATAGAACTACCTGACTACTTCAAGTCTATTTAGAATCTGATGCTCAAGACAGGGTCAGGTTTCATACTTAGCACCCAAGTAAACATTCATGTTTTTTTCTAGCCTTTTTTTCAACAGTAACTCTAGTACTCTCAAGCCTTTTTGTCTTTTGAATAGTAGAAACATTGTACTCTCAGTTTTTTCTACTCATTCTCATTCTGGTAGGGTCAATAAATTAAGGTGTATCACATTAGTACAGATCTACAAAACACACTACCAAGTTCATCCTGCTCTGTGTGTTGGTATTATCCAAATAGGAAAAATCTATTACCAAATAAAGTGAGATTCTAAAATGGAAGTTCATCTGTTAAAGCACATCAAAAATTTGTTGTGATTAAAAAGCCTGCTGCCCCTAGATTGCTAACTGGAATTCACTTCTCCTGCTAGAGAAAATAAGTATTTTAAAAGCACAAGTTATTTTAATTTTAACTTTCATCCAAACATTTCCAACATAACTTGTGTGAGAAGAATGATTGAAGCTTCAGCATGCCTAAGAATCACCTGGAGACAGTAGTATGCTTGTAAACATTAATAACCAGCTTTGTGAATGTAATTTTAACATAAATATTGGTTGATACTCTATATAAATGAGAAGGCAAATGTGAAACAATGAAGTTGGAACTTAAACTCACCCACCAATGACTTGAGCAACTTCTTTGCTTAATTACATAATATTTCTCAAATGCTGCAGGATTATGTCCTCAATTTTTTATGTTACATACATGATTAACTTTTTAAGTTTGACATGCTTTAACATTTTCTCTATTAGTTTCCTTAGTCTACAGTCTTTCTATGAAGAAACAAATAGTGAATTTTAGGTTTTGTGGTCCTGATGGTCTCTGGTGAAACTAGTTCTGCCATGGTAGCATGAATGCAGCTTCTTATACTACATAAATGGATGACTGCAGCTGTGTTCCAGTATAGCTATAAGTAGCAAGCCAGATTTGGCCTGTGAGTTTCAGTTTACTAACAATGGTCTAAACAATCAGCACAACATTAAATCACACCCTGCTATCAGTGGATCTGAAACCCACTCCCCTTCCCTTCTTCCACAGAGGTAACTACTATTCTGAAGTTGATGTATATCATTCCATTTATACTTTTATGTATTATCACAGAAAATAGACTGCATTTCCTATTCCAGGTTTACTTGGCAGATCTGGGGGTGATTCTGAGGAGCATGATATACATCAACTTTTTATACCGTTAACAACAATAAATGACAACTATATCAGCAAAACCTTGATAATATGATAGTAAGAATTTTAAGTTTAAGCCAGAATAAAAAGTCCATAGGCTGAAAGAAAACAGTTGCATGTCACGTATCAACAAAGGTCTTGTGAAGAACTCTTTAATCTGAAAAAGAAAACAACCTCATTTTTTTAAATGGAAAAAATTTTTGACCAAATGTTTAACATCATTAGCTTTTAGGGAAATGTGAATTAAATCCATAAGGAAATACTGCTATATACTTATTAGAATGTTCAAAATTAAAAAGACTAACCATTCTAAGTAACATTCGTATCTTCCTGGTGGAAATGAAAAATGGTACAGCCACTTTTGAACAGTTTGGCAGTTTCTTAAATAATTAAGCATACACTAACCATATGACCATTCCACTCCTAGAAATTTACTCTAGAGCAGTGAAAGTACATGTCCATACAGTGACTTGTACATGAAAGTATGTAACAGCTTTATTAGCAGTAGCCCCAAAGTACAAACAATGTTCATCAGTAGGTAAGTGGACAAACAGATTGTGTTATATCCCACAGCATTAAAAAGAAATGACAGGGTGGGCTCTGTGGCATAGTAGGTTATGCCTCCACCTGTGGCACCAGCATCCCATATACATGCTGATTTGAGTCCCAGCTGCTTCACTTCTGATCCAACTCCCTGCTAATGTGCCTGGGAAAGCAGTGGAGGTGGCCCAAGTGCTTGGGCCCCTGCACCCACGTGGGAGACCCGGATGAAGCTCCTGGCTTCAGATCGGCCCAGCTCCGACTGTTGTAGCCATTTGGAAAGTGAACTACCAGATGGAAGACATCTCTGTGTCTCATCCTCTCTATCTGTAACTCTACTTCTCAAATAAAATAATAAATAAATAAATAGAGACTTCTTGATGAATTTTATACATTCTTTTAAAAAGAAGAAATGAATCTACACACTCAACAACATGAATGAATTCAAAATATATATGCTAAATATAAGCAGCCATACAAAAAAGAGTACATACAGTAAGTTAAATTAATTTCTAGAAAGTACAACATAAACTGTAGCTCCAGAAGGCAGATCAGTTGTTGCCTAAGAATGGGGTATGGTTTCTCAGGATATAGTCCTATAAGAGAGTGATTACAAAGGAACACAAAGAGATTTTGGAATATGATATGTTCATTATATTGAAAATAGTGATAGAGTCATGGTTTATACAAATGTCAAAACTTAAATTTTCTAGTTTAAGTATGTTCAGTTTGTATATCAATTTCTCAAGTTATTTTCTCAATGTTATTTAAAATATTGGTCATAACATTTAGATGAAAATTACTTAGATTTATGAATTTTTAATGCATTAAGCAACCTGAGTATTTAATTTTTGAGTATCTTTTTATTTTACCTTTTAGGATGTGGAGCCACCCAAAATTTCAAGCACAAAAGCTATTTCTATTAAGCAAGAGCCCAAAACATCATCCAGTCTTCCTTCAGGCAATAATAATGGCAAGGTCCTCACAACTGAAAAGGTAAAGAAGGAAGCTGAAAAGAGACCTGCTGATAAAGTAAGATTTTGTTTTGATGTAATTTAAAAAGAAAAAAGTAAATCATTTGTTGCATAGATGACAAGAAACAATGTTTTATGCCTACTTCTAATTTGTATAACAGTGAGTGTAGATACATAATAATCACTCAGTAGATGTAATCTGATGGCTGTAGATGTAGACCTTTTGAAAAATGAGTAAAAGTTAAAAACATTTTTAAAACTAAATATTTGAGCCTCAGGAGATATAATAGTTTGAGTATAAACTCTAACTGTAAACTTTAATCCTTAATGCAGTGCTTCCAGATGTAATAGTTGTTGAGAAAAAAACAGAGAGAGGAAAGAGGAAAGATGTAAATGACTAACCATGAATTCTGTTATAGGATGGTCTGAACCTTAAGAGGTGATGGATAATTCTTGGATTCTCTATTTTGGATGATTCCTGTAAATAGTAATTAAGATTATAACAATTAATTAAAAATACATTTAAGTATATCTTTAGTAACCCTTCCCCTCAACATGTGGTATATTATCTCTTACATTTTCTTACTTTTAATAAATAGTAACATTAATAAACATATACTATTTTCTCTGCTTTTGAATTTATGGGATAGGTACTCTGCATATATATCCTTTGGTAAATTTTCATGTCCTCGAAATGTACTTTTGAAAATTGTCTAAGGTGGTGTATATAGATCTGGATACTTATGTTAGGTACTATATAATATTCATTCTATGAATAAACCAGTTTTTGTGTTCCCCTGCTGATGAGCAGTTAGGTTATTTCTCCTTTCTCTATTATGAGGAGCTTCTATGAGCTACTTTTTATATACATAGCTCTTTGTGAACACATTAATAGTTTAGTCTGGATGACTAGTAGATAGCTTATTATTTACTTTTTTTAATATATCTTTAATATTAGTAGTCCATAATTTAAAATTGAAAACAGCCTTATTGTTGCTATGGTTTCTGAATTCAAAGCATCGTAATAGGCAAAAATATATGCAATGTAAGTCTGTTGAACTCTTAATTATAATTCTTCCACAGTCTAGTGTATAAATCTGTCCCTAATTAAGTCAAAATGTCTGCAAAATGGAATTAATCATAACACGCTATAAACATCTCTCAGTGATTTCAAATTTATTATATATTACTTTTATTATCATTTTCTGATTGGTACTTTTTATAGATAAAATCAGATGTTACTGAAGGAGCTGATATTCCAAAGAAACCTAGACTAGAGAAATCCGAGACACGGTCCTCTCCCATTACTGTCCAAACCAGCAAGGATTTAGCTATAGCTGACCTTTCCAGTTTTGAAGAGACCAGTGCTGATGATTTTGCTATGGAGATGGGACTGGCCTGTGTTGTTTGCAGGTAAGTCGCATGGTAGGTAAGTCATACCTTAATACAGATTGTTTAACAACCACCTCCCCCTTCATTCTCTCCCAAATGAGAACAATTGTTGAAGTGTTCTATTTTGTTTTTATTATTCAAGGATTGAGAATATATAAGTAGATTATGCCTAATGAACAACTCTTAAAGCAATTTAACATCTTGAAAATTATCAACAATTTTATCCTCCTGACTATGACTTGACTTATTCATGTAGTAATAATTTCTTCATTCTTGAGTTCTAGGGGGAAAGTGATTTTTCATTATTCTTTTGAAATAGACTCTGTTCACCAGACTCTTTTTTTTTAATTATTTTTTCTGAATTGATAGCATAAAAAATGCTCTGGTACATATCATTTTCTAAAGCATCCTTAAGTATTTTCCTAAGGATAGTGGAAATGAAAGGAATGGATCATATGGGTTATTCTGAGTGGTGTTTTATAATATAGCTGCAAAAGTGTAAAAACAGATAATTCTGCTTAGTACAAAATACATTTACAAAAATAAATTTTAAGCTCCTTGATGCTAAGGATTATGTTTTTAGTTGTTAATGCCCTTAAACACTTAGCACAATAAAAAGATTGTCATCTTTGTTGATGTTTTCTTTTTAAAAATGTTAAATTCTGATTTTAAGAACTAAGTAAATATAATCTTATAGAGAATGAGTTTATGTGCTTCTGCTTTCAACATATATTTGTTTATTCAGCCTTTGTCTACCTTGAAAGTTATTTTGTAAATAAGTAAATGTTAAAAGTAATGGGGAGAGTAATAGTAACTGTAATGCTCTATCAGCATTCTTACTATGAAAAGCCAAGACTATAGTGATAGCTTTTTGTGCTATTTTGATGCATATTTTGCTGTATTCAGTTCAGTCAACATTCATCAAGCACCTGTTTGCACAGTCATGTGCTGGGCTATAGATGATTATGTTTAGTTCTCAATTTTAGGTTGTTCATGTTGAAGAAGAGAGAGCAACATTTAGCTAACTAATATTAAGGAACTGAATAGAACTACAAAGAAAGTATATTTGAGACTGTTGAAGAACTTGTCAAGAAAGAAAAAAAATTACAATGTGATATGACAGGGAGAATATACCCACTTTTATTTGGGTATCTTTTATATTTATTAATGGTTGATTGTAAGCTTTAAAATAGCTGAAGTACTTGTGCAGGCTGCATGTTGGGATTTGTTATTTTGCTCTTTGGTTTTCCTTTTGTTTATTTACATACTAGAACAAAGCTGAAATGACTTAAATTGTTGCATTCAGGAAAGTATAATGTTCAGTGGTATATTCTTCTTAGGCAGATGACAGTAGCATCTGGTAATCAATTAGTCGAATGTCAAGAATGCCATAATCTGTACCACCAAGACTGCCATAAACCCCAGGTAACAGACAAGGAAGTGAATGACCCTCGCCTGGTGTGGTATTGTGCGCGATGTACCAGACAGATGAAAAGAATGGTAGGAGTCAAATTTTTCTCAACTTTAAACATTCTCTGTTGCTCTTTTGCTAATATGAGCTTTCAAGATCTGAACATTTATGATATTAAAAATATACACAATGTAACCTAAGATTATTTAAATGTGTGTAAAAACTCTAAAAAGTTCATGAAAAATGGAATTGAAAGATAATTTGTGTTTTCCATGAACCTTTCAAATTGCTCCCATATGCTATACATAAAGGATTTATGTGTCCATGCCTAAAGTCCATAGCATATTATATACATTTTTCTCTGTTCATCTTTTGACTTATTCCAATATAGATAAGCAAACAGGGTTGGAGACTCAGAAAAGCTGAATATTCCTTAGTAGAATGTCAATGTGTTTATAAGCATTTTAAGATACTGTGATTTACTGTGGAAAAGTGGTGAGATATAAAGCCTTAGTCTTGATGAGACTGGTAAGAAAATACAGCAGATGTCTACTCCTGAGCTTAAAATTCCAAACTTACAAGTTGTATACAGAAGCAATATTTATCTCTATCTTTCCATCTGTGTTTCTCTTTTCCTCAGTCTTTCCTTCTCATTGTCTTTGACTATTTATCTCATTCTCCCAGTGTACTTTCTTTTTTCTTTGTTCAATAAGAGTCCTTAATATCATACTAAAATGTATTTTCATTCTTTTTACTGAATAATTTTCTTTTTAAATAAATTAATAAGTTGCTGTCTACTTCAGTGACTTCTTTGAACCTTGCCCAGTCTCTTTTCCCATTCCTTAGACTGGGGACTCTTGTTAGAAGAGTTCTCATGTCTGTCAATTAAATGAGTTTCTACATAAAGTTGTCTGATCAAATATGCACTGTTAAAGTCATAAGTTCTTACTTAAAAGTTCAAGATATCCACTTTACTTTCATTGTTAAATCAGAAAAGAAGTGTGTATATATATATATATTCTTATGAAAAGTAATACAATCTCAGTAGTGTGTATACTTTTTGTTTGTTAATAGGAAATTTCTTTGACAAGGTAGATTTTGTCTGATCAGTCTGTTTTTTATTTATTTTTTAAACCCTAAATTGTTTCAGTTAAGCAATGTAGTACATTCTAGAATATTGATAAGAAGCCACTAGGATTCAGTAACTGTTTTTCTGTAGCTTTTTAACAGCTGAAGTAAGCTCAATTCTCCCACTTTTTTTGACTTAGTTTATACCTATTCTATATTTATGGTTCTAACCCTCTTTCTTGGTGAGATTCTACACCTGACTAGATATCTTACAGGCTGTTGAAGTTTAACCTCTTTAAAATTAAAATTGTTCTCTTCTCCATTCAGTTTGTCCTGCAGTTGCCTGAGCTAGAAGACATTATTGTTTAGAATTTTTTTTTCAATGTATTTATCTGAGAGACAGAGGGAGAGAGGGAAGGAGAGAAAGAAAGAAAGCCAGACAGAGAAAGCTTGTATTCACTGGTTCACTCCCCAGATGCCCTCAACAACTGGGGCTGGGATGGGTCCACAGCTGGGAACTAAAAATGCAATCTAGTTCGCCAGTTACTTGAGCCATCACTGCTGCCTCACAGGGTGTGTATTTGCATGAAACTCATCAGGAATCAGAACCAGGTATTGAACCCAGGCACTCTGATGTGGAATATAACCATATTAATCCGTTTCTTAACCACCAGGCTAAACAACTCCCCTGAAAATGTGATTCTTGATGCCTCTCTTAATTCCATATCTCTGTTCATAGATTTGTTAATGCTACCTCTTGTATATCTCCTAAACTTATTTATTTCTCTCTTATTACCCTATTCCACCAAATCTGTCATTACTTACGTATTACAGTAGTTCATAAAGAGTTCTCCTTGCTCCCTTTCAATTCACTTTGTTCACTATAACAATTAAAATTATTATTTTTAAATATCAATTTTATTTGCTTAACTATGCCAGAAACCTCTCAATTACTTATATAAGGTTATACTCCTTAGGCTGCATATATGAAACCTTTCTTTTTGACCCAAGTCTACCTTTGTGTCCTTCTTTGCTACCACTTCACCTATACACTCCACTCTGACCAAGCCAGACTAGAAGTGTAACATTCCCTGAACTTGAGGTAAGCTTTCAGCTCCAGATGTTTTGCTTATTAGCTTCTTCATGTCATCTGGCATACTGTTTATTCTTTATCTGCTTTACAAATTAAGTGTTTAATTCATTTATCAATAAGACCTGGTCTCATTCGTGAGTGGAAGTCAGGACTAGATATAGTCTATATTCTGTTGTTCTCATTGAAAGATAAGTTATTTGGAAAGAAACAGGGATTAGTACCAGAAATCAGTGGTTAGGCCAGTTTATGTGTCTGAGAGCCAAAATACTGAATGGGTAGCCATGACTAATATTAAAACATGACTAGAATGTACCAAGTGTAGATGTGGGAAAATACCAAAAACATGCTCTGAAGTAAACCTGAAGACCAGGATCCAGTAGACAGTTTAATGAGAGAAAGGAGATACTAAATCTAGTCATTCTTACTATAATTGCTTTTAGTGAGATTCCCATATATGAATCATTTATTGTTCCAAGGTATCTCAAAGATATGAAGAGCATCTGATAACCCCCTTCCCTTTACATTAATTTCCACAACTGGAAGAGGTTCTATAGTGCACAGTGTTGTAGAAAGATCTAGTGAAAAGGTTGTGATACATATTTGGCAGAGTCCAAAGTCATTTTTCAGTTCTATAATTTTCCTCTTTACTTAGTAATGGCTTTCACTACAGCACAAGGTCAGAGCCATGTTACTGATTGCGGGGTTTATCAATCTAAGATAATAATACACTCCTACTTGGCAGCATTTAGTAATACTATTTTTTTTATTTCTGCTGCCATATTGATAATTACTGCCTGTGGACTCATCCTGAACTTTCTCTTGAGGATTCAGTGTGCCTGTTCTGCACTATGGAAAAACCTCAAAATGACTTAACATTTAACAGTAAATAATTTTTTTATCCCTTCTCTGCATATCAAACAATTTAAATGGTCTGAATTATATTTTAACTCACCTGGGTAACTCAGAAACTTAGAAATGTGTCTGAATCAGAGAGAAGTTCCAGTCTGGTTGCCATTTGCATTCTAGGCAAGGCTGGCCCCTCTCCACAGGCTGCAGTTTTTCACCAACCCACATGAAACTACATCAGACCTGAAGTCTTCCCCACATATCCAGTTACAGCCCTGGTGTTTTCTCCTTCCCTCCATCCCTGCCTCCCCCGCTTCTTTCCTGTTTATTTATTTGAGAGGTAGGGTAACAGACAGAGGGAGAAACACAGAGAAAGGTCTTCCATCCACTGGTGCACTCCCCAAATGACTGGAGCTGGGCCAGTCTGAAGCCAGAGCTTCTTCAGGTCTCCCACGCAGGTGCAGGGGCAAAAAAAAAAAAAAAAAAAGTGCCTGAATTTCAAGAAGAAAACTCTTTTAAGTCTTTAAAACTGGTTACATACGTGAGGACACTTTAAAATATTCATGGAAAACACACATTATCTTTTAATTACATTTTACATGAGCTTTTTTTATGTACTCAGTATCATCAGCTCTCTATATATATAGATTAAGCATCTATGGATTCAACCAACTACAGATCAAAAATATTTTTTAAAAATTGTATCTGTACTGAACATATCTAGACTTTTTTCATTATTTGCTAAAGAATACAGTTTAACAACTATGTACATAGCATTGACATTGAATTAGGTATTTAAAGGTATTGGGGCCGGTCTGTAGCGCAGAGGATTAAAGCCCCAGCCTGCAGCACCAGCATACCATATGGGCGCCAGTTCGAGTCCAGGTTGCTGCACTTCAATCCAGCTTTCTGATAATGCTCCTGGGAAAGCAGCGGAGGACAGCCCAAATGCTTGGGCCCCTGCACACACGTGGGGGACCCAGAAGAAGCTACTGGCTTCTGGATTCAGATCAGCTCAGCTCTGACTGTGGCAGCCATTTGGGGAGTGAACCAGTGGATGGAAGACCCCTCTCTCTGTAACTCTGCCTTTCAAATAAATAAAATAAATCTTTTATAAAAAACTTAGGTGTTATAAGTAATCTAGACCTGAATTAAAATATAAGGATGCAAATACTACACCATTTTATATAAAGGACTTGAGCATCCATTAAGTTTAGTATCTGAGTGTAGACCTTGGAACCAATCCCCCACAGATACCCAGGGATGACTGTTCTTCAGCTTGTACTTTTCCTTTTTTAAAAAACAATTCAGGGGCCAGCACAGTTGCATAGCAGGTAAAGCCACTGCCTGCAGTGTTGGCATCCCATATGGGTGCCGGTTCAAGTCCTGGCTGCTCCACTTACGATCCAGCTCTCTGCTGTGGCCTGGGAAAACAGTAGAAGATGGCCAGGGTCCTTGGGGCCCCTGCACCCATGTGGGAGACCCGGAGGAACCTCCTGGCTCCTGGCTTCGGATCGCCACAGCTCTGGCTGTTGCAAGCATCTGGGGAGTGAACCATCAGATGGAAGACTTTCTCTCCCTCTCTCCACCTCTCTGTAACTTTGCCTTTCAAACAAATAAATAAATCTTAAAAAAATTCAATTTGTCTAGTTAAGATGGTTTTTAACCAACCCTAATATGCATGATTTCTAAAGCTTAATACTCTCTTTACTGTTTGGAAACTAATGAAATCTATAAAACCACTAATATAATGGTAAAAATAATTTGTCTACAGTCTATGTTTTCAGTGTCATCACAATACATTTTTAAATGTTCAACTGCATTTCAGTTTAGTGATGAGTCCTGTGATAGATGTTTATTATCTTCTTTGTATATTCAGTTACGATTTTGTAATTAATTTAATCTACTGATTTTTGCAGGCTCAAAAAACTCAGAAACCACCACAGAAACCAGCTCCTACAGTTGTTTCTGTAGCTCCAGCTGTCAAAGATCCATTGGTTAAGAAACCAGAAACTAAACTCAAGCAAGAGACAACTTTCCAAGCATTCAAGAGAACAGAAGTCAAGGTACAGATTCATTTTTGTCTTGATTTAATTTAGTTGATTAAACAATGGTTGCTTGTTGAAAATTTTGAGAAACTATATAATAAATGACTACTTGTTAGAAATTAAGACTACATTATTATTAGTCAGGAAGGGAACATTTTTTTTTAAGGCGGGCTGATTTCGGAACTCCCAACCCATTGCCTTTGCCACATTGTATGATTTGTTTTTTTTAGTAGAAAACATTTATTTAATAAATACAAATTTCCAAAGTACAACTTTTGGATTATAGAGGTTCTTCTCCCCATAACCACCCTTCTACCTGCAAACTCTCCCATCTCCTACTCCCTCTCCCATCCCATTCTTCATTAAGATTTATTTTTAATTATCTTTATATAATGAAGATCAACTCTATACTAAGTTAAGATTTCAACAGTTTACAGACACACAAAGTATAAAGTACTATTTGAAGACTAGTTTTACCATTAATTCTCATAGTACAGTCATTAAGGACAGAGGTTCCACATGGGGGGCAAGTGCACAGTGACTCCCATTGTTGATTTAACAATTGACACTCTTATTTGTGATGTCAGTAATCACCCAAGGCTCTTGTCATGAGCTGTCAAGGCTATAGAAGCCTCTTGAGTTCACAAACTCTAACCTTATTTAGACAAGGCCATAATCAAAGTGTAAGTTCTGTCCTCCCTTCAAAGAAAGGTACCTCTTTCTTTGATTTCCCAGAAGGGAACATTTAAATCATGACCTAACCTCTAACTCTGCTATTTCTCTTTCTATTATTAATAGGAACAGTCTATGTTCCTTATCATTCCTGTAGAGTTAAATATTGCAATAAAGAATTTAGTTCTAGTAACTCTGCTGTAGCAGCAGTTTTGATCTTTATACTACGTGTTGGCTGTTGAAGTTTTCTTCCTTATTATTTTCCTTTATAATTATCAACTTTCCTAGTTCTTACCTGTTATTCTGAGGAACCATGTAATTTAGTGACAGTATCATTCCTAGGTTTGCATCCTTGCAATCATAGTACGTTATTCTGTCCTGTTATTTTGATATCATGGAATGAAATATTTTTTAGCCCAATTTTGTAACAGCTGTTTTACTGAGTAAATTCCAAATTTAAGTATGGCACTGGGGCCGGTGCTGTGGTGCAGCAGGTTAACGCCCTGGCCTGAAGCGCTGGCATCCCCTAAGGGCACTAGTTCAAGACCTGGCTGCTCCACTTCTGATCCAGCTCTCTGCTATGGCCTGGGAAAGCAGTAGAGGATGGCCCGAGTCTTTTGGCCCCTGCACCCATGTGGGAGACCTGAAGGAAGCTACTGGCTCCTGGCTTCGGATCGGCACAGCTCTGGCTGTTGCAGCCAATTAAGGAGTAAACCTTCGGATGGAAGAAACCCCCCACTCTCTCTCTGCCTCTCCTCTCTCTGTGTAACTCTGACTTTAAATTAAATAAATACATCTTAAAAAAAAAGTATTGCACTAAAGATAGAAGAAGAAAAATTAGCCATGAATTCACGAATGACCCCAGAAAATGCTAAAGATATTACCTTGTCTGAATAGCTGTTTGGAAGCTCAAGAATCTTGGTGTGATTAAAAAATATATATAAATATAAAGTACTCTGAGAAAGATTCTGATAATTATATTTGAATGTCATTTATAATTTACTGGGAAAGAATTGATGTAAAGGGGATATTCATTATTGATTTATTATATCAGAACATAGTGAATTGGAATAGAAGAATAACGGATTTGGTGGAAGTAATTATAGGGGCTGCTTTTTCCATACATAATCATTTTCATTAGATTCCTATTACTAAAGGAAATCTTAAATGAAATCATTTAATGGCAAGTAAAAGACAACTTTGAGTGTCTTGTTTTGATTAAAAGGTTTTTGTGTTTTTACAATAAAAGTAAGATTTACTATAAAAATTTTTGTTTCCTTTCACACATAAAGAAGTAAATGGCTTTTCTAATTAGGATAATGGCAAGAAGCTATTTATAGTTAAAAATAATTGAGGGGTGAGCATATGGCACTCTTGGAAAATCTGTGCAATCACTACTTGGAAAACCTGCATCCCTTAGCAGGGTGCCTGGTTCAAGTCCTGGTTCAAGTCCCGGCTCCACTTTCTACTCCAGCAGCCTGCTAATTTATACTCTAAGAGGCAGCAGGTGTTGACTCAAGTGTTTGGATGCCTGCTACCCATTTGGGAAACCAAGATTGAGTTCCAGGCTCCTGGCTTTAGCCTGGCTCAACCGTAGCTGAAAGTATCAGTGGTAGAAGAACTCTGAATCTCTTTCTCCATCTCTCTGTCCTTCATATAAAATGAACATAAATTTAAAAATTTATTTTCCATACTAAAATTGTTAGAAATCACTGAATTTCCATTATTTGTCTTATTCTATTTTTATGTGTCCTATAGTATTGTAAATCAACTGTCATTCTGTTGAAAAGCAATACCAGGTCATTAAGACCAAATGCCAAGCCTATTCAATTTGCTTTCTTCTTTGTACTCAAGTGTTGGTCTTTTTAATTACTTCAGATGGGCTTTCATTTGTGAAATATTCTGAAAGATCATTTAGCCATATGGCAGTTTTATATTTAATATGAAGAAAAGGAAAAAATAAATCATAACTAAAAATTGAAAATTTCCCACACCTGTGTCCTTTTGATTTTTGACTGTTTCCCTGACTACCTTCATGGGTTCCTCTAAGAATTTATGATTTGTATAGTTTTTTTTATCTGAATAATATCATGAGATAGTTGTCATATTTCTGAAAAAAAAAAGGTCACTTTTCAGAGTATGTTAACAAGAATCTGGATTCTTACTCTTATAAAATGAATATCTCACAGCTGAATATTTTGATTGCTTTTCACATTGTTTTAAAATATTTACATGCAGACAGTATTGAAGGCTGCTAAAAATTTTTTATCAACTCTTTTAAAGTTCAGTTCTAGGTGCTGGCAGGTGGCATACCAGGTTAAGATACCACTTGCAATGCTAGCATCCTGTATGGGAATAAATACTCTTTTGAGTCTTGGCTGGTCTGCTTTCTTTTCTTTTTCTTTTTTCTTTTTTTTTTAAGACTTCTATCTACCTATTTATTTATTTGAAAGAGTTACAGAGAGACAGACAGAAACAGAGAAAGTACTTCCATCCACAAGTTCACTCCCCAGATGGGCACAACGGCCAGCACAGGGCCAGGCCAAACCCAAGAGCCAGGGAGCTTCATCAGAGTCTCCCACGTGGGTGGCAGAACACAAACACTTGGACCATCTTCTGTTTCTTTCCCCAGGCCATTAGCAGGGAGCTAGATCAGAAGTGGAACTGGCACCCATAAGTGATGGCAGTGTCACAGGCAGTGCTTTAACTTCCATGCCACAACGCCAGCCCTGGCTATTCTGCTTTCAATCCAGCTTCCTGCTAACGTACCTGGGAAGGCAGCAAATAATGGCCCAAGTACTTGTGTCCCTACATTCCATGTGGGAAACCTGGATGGAGTTCCTGGCTCTTGGCTTCATCCTGACCCAACTCTGGCTGTAGCATCCATTTGGAGAATGCAACTGTGGATGGAAGCTACCTCTCTCTATCCTTGTCTCTGTGTCTCTGTCTCTCCCTCTCCTTCTCCATCTCCATCTCCATCTCTTTCTCTCTGTATCCCTCTGCCTGTGAGATAATAAATAAGTTTTTTAGAAAAAGTTCAGCTCCAAAATGTAATTGGACCTCTTTTTTTTTTTTGATTTTTTATTTATTTATTTGAGAGGTAGAGTTACAGACAGAGATAAGGAAAGACAGAAAGAAGGGTCTTCCATCTGCTTGTTCACTACCCAGTTGGCCACAATGGCTGGAGCTAGGCTAATCGGAAGCAAGAGCCGGGAACTTCTTTCAGGTCTTCTGTGTGGGTGCAGGGCCAGAGCACTTGGGCCATCTTCCACTGCTTTCCCAGGCCATTAGCAGAGAGCTGGGTAAGAAGAGGAACAGCTGGACATGGACTAATGCCCATATGTGATGCTGGCGGCACTGCAGGTGGAGGCTTAGCCTACTATACCACAGCATTGGTCCAAACTGGACATATTTTAAGCATGATAATAACCATTTTTAAAACAAAAATGTACTCTTTACCTTTCCCATAAACCCTAAACAGTTTTGCAAGTCTTCTTAAGTTTGAAGGTAGAAAGAGTGTCAGTAAGAAATTCAATTCAAAATTAATTTTAACCAAATGTGTTTTTTTCTATTGTGAAAGTAAAAATTTTCTTATGTGAAAAGGAGTAATATGTATTTATGAAATGGCATTGGTAATACCGGGAACTTGATTTGCCATCTTAGGAAGTACATCAAAGAAATTAAAGAGTTATAACCTCAAGAAATATGTGTAGGGGGCCAGCATTGTGGTGCAGTGGATTAAGCCACTACTTGCATCCCATCTTGGGAGTGTCCCAGCTGCTCTACTCCCAGTTCAGCTTTCCTCTAACATGTGTGGGAAGGCAGCAGAAGATGGCTCAAGTACTTGGGCCCCTGCCACCCTTGTGAGAGGTCAGGATAGAGTTCCTGGCTCCTTGATTCAGCCTGGCTCTGACCTGGTTGTTGCAGCCATGTGGGGAGTAAACTGGTGGATGGAAGATCTCTTTTTCCCTGTCACTCTGCCTTTCAAATAAATAAATCTTAAAAAATAAAATACATCTACAAGTGAGTTAGACCTACCCAAAATACCATTAGGCATTTAAACCTAATAGCAAAAAAAACCCTTTATATCAAAGCAGGAACCTCTTAGGTGATAGTTTTAATGAAAACATAGACAAGTAGTGTATAACTTATAATCTATTACAAAAAACAGGTCTCATAATTTTAGTTTCACAATTTGTCTATGTTTTCATAAGTTAGCATATATGTATATATTTGAACGATTGCTCAAAATTTGGGGGCAACTTTTGTTAAAAGATATGTTTAAAATTTATATATGACCATTTTCTTTTCATCATATATTAACTCGATAAATAATATTAAATGAATCTCTGAAACTCAGACATCTTCTGGATATCCTAGATGTGGGCATTTTTGTTCATTAGGAATAGAATTGATTTTATTTATATATTTGAGAGGCAGAGAAAGAGAGAGAGACTACATATTCCTATCTGCTGGTTTATTCCTCAGATGTCTGCTACAGCAGGGGTTGGGCCAGGCCAAAGCTAGGAGCTGGGAACTCAAACCGAATCTCTCACATGGGTAACAGGAACCCAATTACTTAAGGTATCACCACTTTCCCCCAGGGTTTACATAAGCAGGATAGTGGATCCAGGACCCAGAGGTGGATTTCAAACTCAGGTACTCCAACATGATATGTGGGTGTATTAACCATCTTGTTAACCACCAGGCCAAATGTCCACCCCAAGAGTGAAATATATTTTTGAAATAATTGTTAGTTATGTGGAGCAAAGTCTAAAGAACAGGATATTTTACTGAGTTAGGTCATAACCCTCTCGGGTGAAAAATAAGTTAAAACACTTAATTTGATTTGAAGCAATTCTCCAAAAGGAATTCCATGTATTTTATTTTGGAATCATTGTGGTAAGAACATACCATCCAAACATTTCTGCTTTGAAAACAGTAATGCTCACTAACTGTGGATATGTTTTGTTCCAAGTGTTTTCATCAAATCAGTTTCATAAAAGAAAACTAGTTTGGTGGTGTGATTTAAATTCCTGAAGTCATTACTCTGGTAACAGTTGTTATAAATGCAAGAATATTATGTAGGTATTGAGTGTACTTTGCACTAATGTAATATTTATCTTATTTTTTTAGACATCCACGGTTATTTCAGGAAATTCTTCTAGTACCAGTGTTTCCTCTTCGGTAACTAGTGGCCTAACGGGGTGGGCAGCGTTTGCAGCCAAAACATCTTCTACTGGTCCCTCAACAGCAAAATTGAGTTCTACAACACAAAACAACAGTGGAAAACCTGCTACCTCATCAGCCAGCCAGAAGCCTGTGGGTTTGACTGGTCTGGCAACATCTTCCAAAGGTGGAATAGGTTCTAAAATAGGTTCCAATAATAGTACAACACCCACTGTACCACTGAAACCACCTCCACCTCTGACCTTAGGCAAAACTGGCCTTAGTCGCTCGGTTAGTTGTGATAATGTCAGCAAAGTAGGTCTTCCCAGTCCAAGTAGTTTAGTTCCAGGAAGCAGCAACCAACTAAGTGGGAATGGAAATAGTGGGACATCAGGCCCTGGTGGAAGTACCACTAGTAAAAGTACTTCAGAATCTAGTAGCTCTTCCTCAGCATCCCTTAAAGGTCCGACTTCACAAGAATCACAGCTCAATGCTATGAAGAGATTACAGATGGTTAAGAAGAAAGCCGCCCAAAAGAAACTCAAGAAATAGGGTGTCCAAACAGGTGTGATGTTATAGTACCCAAAAGGTAAAAACTTATTACTAGAACATATATTGTTAAATGTACTGTAATTTAATAAAAATATTCATAATCAAATTTCTTTTGTTTCTTAAAATATTGTTATTTAGCAAAACTTGGAATCTTATTTTCAATCTGTCTTTAGTATTTTTATTTTAATAATTCCCCTACTGTATGAAAATAATGATTGATAATGACATTCTTGGTGAAACCTTCATAAGATTTGTAGTAAAAGCAGTTTTAAAGAGAAAAAAGTAGTTCATCTTCTAGCAAAGCCCCAAGTTGATCTTGCATAATGAGGTGCCTTACAGGGTGACAGAGGTGACTCATTGTGAAGTTTTCTGGTACTTTTGAGCGTTTAATATTTTGGGTGTTTATTGTCAGTACCCAGCCTCATTTTAACTAATTGTCTATCTTCCTCCAACTATTTTGTCACCATTTTCACAATTAACTTTTATTAACTTCCTGTAAGCCTGTGTTATCTTTGCCTGTTTTTTAATCACCTTAAATTATGTAGTGATTTATCCCAACCAGTAGGTAGTAAACTCTTATGCCCTTTTAAAGCAATACTCTTCACATTGTCCACTTTTCCCTACACTAATGTAATATATGCACATAGTATGTACTCAATGAATGTTGAATTTTCACTCATCCCACTCATGTACATTCCTGAGAATTCTTGAAAAAAAAAACTATTTCCAAGAGCTTTTGTGAATGGAAATTATGACTTATTTACACATTATTTATACAGTAAAAGTAAAGGATATTTTATTTTTACTGCCTCCAAATTTTATAGCACTTTAATTTTAGATAACTTTGTATAAAACAAGCTCATATATGTATATGTATGTGTGTGTGTGTGTGTAGTGATTAATTCTTGATTTTTTTTATATTAAGTCAGAAAGTTCTATGGTTTGCATGTGATTTGTCTGTCAAAGGTTCATGTATGTTGATTATTAAGTGGTGAAGTCTAGTGGGAGGTGAATAGATTATTGGTTGGCACCACCCTTGGAAGGGATTAAGGTCATTCTAATAGGACCCCTGAATTAGTTCTTGCAAGAGGACTTATAAAAAAAGTCCGAGACTAACCCCTGAATTACTCTCTAGTTTCCTGTCTGTGTGGTGATCTCTCCCCTTTGCAAATACTTCAACCAGATGCCACCTGCCATGAGGTGATGCAGCCAAGGAGATTCTTGTAAAAGCTAGTACTGTGCTATTTGGACTTTCAGCCTCAAAAACTGAGTTGAACAGCCTTCCCCCCTCTTTTTTTAAGATTTACTTATTTTTATTTATTATTATTTGAGAGAAATCTATCCGCACGTTCACTCCCCAAATGGCCACAATGTCAGGGGCTTGGCAGGCTGGAGCCAGGATTCTGAAACTTCATCAAGGTCTCTCACATGTGTTCATGGGCCCAAGCACTTGGGTCATCTTCTACTACTCCACAACACCAGCCCCAACACTCATTTTTTATGAAGTTACCCAGTCACTGTTTTGTTTTGTGTGTGTATTTTTTAATGACATTTACCCTTTTTTAAAAAATGAAGAGTTTTGTTTTTTAATATTTTATCTGAAAGAGTAACAGAGAGATTGGCAGGGCTAGAAAGCAACAGATGTTCCATCTGCTGATTCACTCCCCAAATGGTCAAAATGGCAGGAGCTAGACCAAGCCGAAGCCACGAGTCAGGAATTCCATCCAGGTCTCCCACGTGGGTGGCAGAGGCTCAAGCACTCAGGTCATCTTCCACTGCTTTCCCAGGCACATTAGCAGGAAGCTAAATTGGAATTGGAACAGTTGGGACTCTAACTGATTCTCATGGGATGCCGGCATCACAGGTAGTGGCTTAACCCTCTGTGCCACAGTGCCGGCCCCTGGTATTATTTTGTAGTAACAGAAAACCTGACCAATACAGAAAATTGGTAACATGAAATGAAATTGTTACTGCAACTGCCTGGAAATGTGGGACTATCTTTGGGACTGGTTTATGGTCAAAGGTTGTAAAAGTTTAGAGGAGCAAGCTAGCAAGAAACCTGGAATATTAGCCGGTGCCGTGGCTCACACTAGGCTAATCCTCCGCCTTGCAGCGCCGGCACACCAGGTTCTAGTCCCAGTCAGGGTACCGGATTCTGTCCCGGTTGCCCCTCTTCCAGGCCAGCTCTCTGCTGTGGCCAGGGAGTGCAGTGGAGGATGGCCCAAGTCCTTGGGCCCTGCACCCCATGGGAGACCAGGATAAGCACCTGGCTCCTGCCATCGGATCAGTGCGGTGCGCCGGCGCACTGTGGCTGGCGGCCAGCATTGAGGGTGATCACACGAATGGAGGACCTTTCCTCTCTCTCTCTTCTCCACTGTTCCACTCTTGCCCTATCAAAAAAAAAAAAAAAAAAAAAAAAAAAAAAAACCTAGAATATTGCAAGGGTATGAGGCATTTTGGGTAATCCTGTTGAAGGCTCTGAAAATGAGGAGACTAGAGAACTAGTCTTCAGATGAAAATGAAGATACCATTGGAAAATGGAGAAAAGATTGTCCTTAGACCATTGTAAAGAACTCAATCCATTGTGTCCATTCCCTAACTTTCTGGAAGCTGATTAAAGAGAATGACCCAGGGTATTTGACAAATTTACGAATAGTAAACCATTTGGTGTGCAACATGGGTTTTTTGCACTACTTTCAAGAGATTCAGGAACAAAGAGAACAGAGAACCAGTGGAGATCTGTGAAAAAATTCAAAGCTTGACAAAAAAAGTGTTGGAAAGAGAAGGGTACACCTGAACTACAAAAAAGATTAGTGCAAGGGCCAGCATTGTGGCATAGCTGGTGGATCTGCCATCTTCAGTGCCACCGTACCACATGGGCACTTGTTTGAGTTTCGGCTGCTCCATTTCCTTTCCAGCTTCCTGCTAATCACCTGCAAAAGGCAATGAGGATAGCCTAAGTGCTTGGGCCCCTGCTACCCACATGGGAGACCTGGAAGAACCTCCTGGCTTTGCCCTGGCCCTGCCCTGACCATTGCGGCCATCTGGGAGTGAACAAGTAGATGGAAGATCTCTGTCTCTCTTTGTCTCTCCCTCTCTCTCTCTCTCTAACTCTGTCAAATAAATAAATAAATAAATCTTGAAAAAAAAAAGATTAGTGCAGATAAAAGCCAGTTGCTTTGTATTGGGAAAATAGGGAAAATTCATTGAGGGCATCTCAGAAATGAGGCCACCCATTCCATCACAGGACCAGATGCCTTCTAGGGCAAATTGTTTCAGGGATGGGCCTCTGGATACTCTCCATGGGCTCACTGACCCTGACAGCTTTGGGGTTTTACTCTGTTTTCCATGGAAGTGCTTCATAGCTACAGTCATGGCTCCATTGAGTCCAGGCACTGTTCCTTCCAGCAGCAGGCCTTGATGACATTCACATGATGCTGTTTTTGATGATGCACAGAATGCAAGACTTACAGGGTAATGGTGGCATCCATCCATATTTCAAAGGAAAGTGTGGGAGACCAGGCAAAAGTTTGCCACATGGTGAGAACCTCTAATGGAGCAATGCCTGTGGGGCCATGAGAGTGAACCCACAGCAGGGACCCCAGAAAGCTAGAGTGGCCAGCAGTGTACAGTGTCCACCCAGGAATGCCCCCAGTATCAGCACGCAGCCCAAGACAGCAGTAGTGGCTCCTGAACTGCAAAGTCATAGGGGCAGGACTACCTGAATAACAGAGGGCTCATTTCTTTCCACAATGTATATAGGATGCCAGATTTGGGGCTCTAAGATTTAATATCTGCTTTGCTAGGTTTTGGTGTTGCTTTCAGACATTTTTTTTTTCAGAAGAATGTAAAGAATCTTATTTTGCACATAACATATATGCTTTAAGTAAATTAACTTACTTGATCCAAAAATCAACCCATATTAGAATTGAGCAAACTAAGAGTCGAAATGAAAAATCATTCAATAGATTACAGAGTTAGGAGCAAAACTCAGGAATTACTTTCTTTTCTTACCATTTTTTAACATATTTAATAAATATAAATTTCCAAAGTACAACTTTTGGATTGTAGCAGCTTTTCCCCCCATAACCTCCCTCCCACCCGCAACATCCCATCTCCCACTGTCTCTCACATCCCATTCTTCATCAAGATTCATTTTCAATTAGTTTTATATACAGAAGATCAAATTAGTATATATACTAAGTAAAGATTTCAACAGTTTGCACCCACACAGAAACACAAAGTGTAAAGTAATGTTTGAGCACTAGTTACACCGTTAATTCACATAGTACAACACATTAAGGACAGAGATCTTACATGAGGAGTAAGTGCACAGTGACTCCTGTTGATTTAACAATTGACACTCTTATTTATGATGTCAGTAATCATCTGAGGCTCTTCTCATGAGCTTCCAAGGCTATGGAAGCCTCTTGAGTTCACCAACTCGATCTTATTTAGACAAGGCCATAGTCAAAGTGGAGGTTCTCTCCTCCCTTCAGAGAAAGGTACCTCCTTCTTTGATGGCCCGTTCTTTCCACTGGGATCTCTCTCGCAAAGATCTTTCATTTAGGTCATTTTTTTTTTTCCCCCTCAGAGTGTCTTGGCTTTGCATGCCTGTGAAACTCTCATGGGCTTTTTAGCAAGACCCAAATGTCTTAAGGGCTGATTCTGATGCCAGAGTGCTGCTCAGGACATCTGCCATTCTGAATCTGCTATGTATCCCGCTTCACATGTTGGATTGTTCTCTCCTTTTTAATTCTATCAGTTAGTATTAGCAGACACTAGTTTTGTTTATGTGATCCCTTTGACACTTAATCCTATCATTATGATCAATTATGAACTGAAACTGTTCATTTTGGCTAGTGAGATGGCATTGGTACATGCGACCTTAATGGGAATGAATTGGAATCCCCTGGCATGTTTCTAACTCTACCATTAGGGATAAGTCCAAGTGAGCATGTTCTGAACTGTAGATCTCCTCCCTCTCTTATTCCTACTCTTATATTTAACATGGATTACTTTTCAGTTAAATTTAAACACCTAAGAATAACTGTGTTAATTGAATAGTTCAACCAATGGTATTAAGGAGAACAAAAAAATACTAAAAGGAATAAAATAGTAAGTTGTTCCTCAAAAGTCAGGATAAGGGCTGATCAAGTCATTGTTTCTCATAGTGTCCATTTCACTTCAAAAGGTTTCCTTTTTAGTGCTCGGTTAGTTGTCACCAATCAGGGAAAACACAGGATATTTTTCCCTTTGGGACTGGCTTATTTCACCAGCATGATGTGTTCCAGATTCCTCCATCTTGTTGCAAATGACCAGATTTCATTTTTCTTTTACTGCTGTACAGTATTCCATAGAGTACATATCTCATAATTTCTTTATCCAGTCTTCTGTTGATGAGCATTTGGGTTGATTCCACGTCGTAGTTATTGTGAATTGAGCTGCAATAAACATGGAGGTGCAGACAGCTCTTTTATTTGCCAATTTAATTCCTTTGAGTAAATTCCAAGGAGTGGGATGGCTGGGTTGAATGGTAGGGTTATATTCAGGTTTCTGAGGAATCTCCAGACTGACTTCCATAGTGGCTTTACCAGTTTGCATTCCCACCAACAGTGGGTTAGTGTCCCTTTTTCTCACATCCTTGCCATCATTTGTTGTTAGTTAATTTCTGTATGTGAGCCATTCTAACTGGGGTGAGGTGAAACCTCATTGTGGTTTTGATTTGCATTTCCCTGATTACCAGTGATCCTGAACATTTTTTCATGTGTCGTTGGCCACTTGGATTTCCTCTTTTGA